AATGTGCTTGACACAATGGATGGAAATATGGATTGTGATGAGTTGTACGAGCCCCCAATAAAATGATTTTTTTAAAAAAGAACTAAGTACTGTATATACTCGAGTATGAGCCAACCCGAATATCACCTGGGGCACCTAATTTTACCACAAAAACTGAAAAACCAGGTTTATACACAAGTATATATGGTACATAGGGATAAAGGCAATGACAAGAGAACAGTAGCATTTTTAACTTAAATATAAAGTTCAAAGTCAGAGATGAACCTCATGAGATATTAAGTTCCAGCTTACTAAAAATGTTGATTAGCTGAAAAGTTTGGGCCTTTCAAATATGATTAACTATGACAATGATCCTCAAAGAATTACATTTTTATCAAGGAACTGATAATTCTCCAAGAATCCTTGAATACAAAGATTCTATTTGGGTGGGGAATAAAGATTAAAAAAAATTTCCTCAGGGTAGAAATTCAAAATCAAGGTGCTGGCAGAGCTCTGGGGAACACTCTTCCTTGCCTTTTATAGCTTCTGATGGCCTTGTGTTCCTTGACTTGTGACAGCATGACTCCAATTTCTACCTCTGTGGTTACTTGAACTTTCTCTTGGTGTGTGTCTTGTAAGGGCACTTGTCATTGGACTTAGGGTTCACTCTGAATCCACAATAAGCTCATCTAGAGGTCTTTACCTTAATTGTATTTGCAAAGATCTTCATTTCTAAAAAGGTCAAATTCACATTTTTTAGGGTTAGGATGTGCCTTTAGCAGTCAGAGAAGAGAACTTACAGAAGTTTCCTTCTTTCCCAAAGGTAACAGAGCTTTCAATACTGGACCTGGAATGTTTACCTGGCTATTTGACCCAACTCTATTTCTTTGTGTGAACGCTATTTTGAAAGTTTTGTTAAGGTGTTATTTCTCGGATGGCACTGACTGTCTCCCAGGCACCTGTCCTTCCGTTCCCTGCAGTTCACATCCTCAGATTTCTCTCCCTTCAGTGCATGGGGCTTGCCTGGTCACCTGCCCACCAAGTTGCCATTTCCACACCTTCCCACATGTGCCAGGCTATAGCTTCAGCTTCACAATGGTGCCAATATCCACAGTATGGTAGCCCCTGTTTTCTCAGCTCACTTGACTCATACCAGACTCTTCATTGACCAAGAGACCACCTCCCTTGCATTCACTCTGTCTGCTTTAGGATTTCTTTCCTTTCCCAAGTAGGTTGGCCTTGCCACCTTATTGAGGTCTGTGGGATACACCTACCTATCCCTTATGCCCCCACCCCTGACACACATTATTCTCCTCAAGCTCATGCCTTCCTTATGTGGCCAGAGTTGCTGTGAGACTCACGTAAGGGCCTGAGAACTAGAAATTTTTGGAACTGCCTGGGAGATTTCTCTCTAAGGACTTGCTCCTTCTACTGTTTTGCAAATGTGAGAACAGATTGAGGATTTTCCAGGAATGAACTTGAAGCTCACAACTAAAGGCTGAGGTGATGTCCCTAAGGGAGCTTAACTACAGTGGGCCTTAGTGTTTTTACATCCCCACTCCTACTTCTAGGTTATTCTAGGCTGTTGGCTATATGGTCATCCAAACCTGTGATCAGATCTTTACTCCGAGTTGGCCTCTGTCCTGAGCCTCTACCGCAACAGGTGCACCTGCTTCCTAACAAGCAATATAGTGGACCAGGAAGGAGATGGTTTTAATCTAGGAATTTGGTAAACTGGGTTTCTGTTCTCTTATAGTACTTGATTTCCCAAGTAGTATGATGCATTAGTTGCAACAAAGAACACAGTTCTGTGGACTTGGAAGAAGTGTGTGAAGAACTCCCAACTTTAGGCAATGCCAGAGCCGACTTCCAGGACAGAGTTACCGCTGACATAGGGTAGATGTCCCTCAAAATCCCCCAGGTATGCTCAGGCCGTGCTGCAGGTCTGCACTTTGAGACCACTGGTGAAGATGGCCATTCAGATCAGTGTGCACCCTCCCTGACCAATGGCATGTGCTTACAAAATTCTCCTGTGCTGGGCAGGATTCTAGGAATCTCAGTGGGCCCCAGAGAAGACAGGATTGGTTGGAAAACATGGTCAGTTCTGAGGATCATTGTGGAGAGGCAGCCTGGGGTCCATACCTTTCCCAGCATGCTCCAGCTCCACTATACCCTCCAGGCCAGAAACTTTTCCTGAGAAGCTTTCTCCACTGTTCTTCTCTCTGGACTCCATTCTTCTGACAGGATTGACTACAAAAAGTTCAAGGAGAGGACTTCCCAAGAGCCCTTTGAGGAGCCGGGGTGGACTTTAACGTGTGTGTGTGTGTGTGTGTGTGTGTGTGTGTGTGTGTGTAGCTCTGCCATTAGCTATTCAAGACTATGGGGACTCTCATTCCAAATGGACACATAGATCACTGGTATCTCCTCCTGTTCCACTTTATGAGTGTGTGTGTCAGTTTATGTATGAATGTACGTGGGTGAGAGTGTGGGTGTATGTGTGTGTGTGTGTGTGTGTGTGTGTGTGTGTGTGTGTG